TTCGAATCAGGAAAGATTGGTTTCGTGTCTCATCCATCGAGGAGAGAGTGCTTGATTTAAATAAAAATAAGGGCTTCATACGGAGCGGCATGGCCTCTGCAATTCAGGAGACTATTTCTCAGACTTTCTTGATTAGTCTTTTACATAATTCGGCTTCTGACAGCCCAATTGGAGAGGTCGAGTAGCACAAAAAATAATCTTCGCCTCTCTTTCTGTAGCAAAATAAACAAGAAGCAAGCAAATCACGAAAATGACACTGCAAGTTTTAGTTACCTGCTCTTCTTTACTTTTCACGAGCGACTTGGACTGTCCTTGAGACTGAATAATCAGGCTACTCTCAAACGCGATCGCGTGAGGTCAAATTGGCTTCGTTAAGTGGAGGAGAAATTCCTCAGATGGGCTTTTTCCCTGGTCAGTGAAACGCACTCATGATGTATATGTTTCCGGTATTTCGACCGTGAAATTCTCACAGCAACAAGCTTTAATCTACTGGTAACGCGTCAACGGCGATCCATTCTTTGCGGTGGCATCGAAAAACCGTGCGAGGAAACTTGTTTTAAGGATTATAAAAGGCTAAATATTTCCATATAGAATGGATACCTAGAGTAAATATAAATTGCATTTCCTCCATCAGCAATGCTTGGTACTCTCTTTCCGTGGTTTGTTGAAAAGAAAGGGCTTTTGTTATAAGGAAAACTGTCTTGTGTGTACCAGTCCTTTTTATAGTACTTTTTCTAGTTATTGTCTGAGTCTCCCGGGATGTCTGAGTATACGCAATTCAGTTTGAGAATCGCTTATTAATCGGAAAACTTCTTCCAAATTTGGTCAACACTAGCTTCCTGTTTAGAACAATAAGCTCCTGGATTTAGGCCAATCACAAATGAAGAAATATTTTGAATAAATAATAACTAAGTTAAAGGGTGAACAACGTTGATTGGCATCACCGGCTCCACGCAATTTTATGCATTCGGTCCTGACTTGACTTTAAGGCAGGAGCGAATCAGTGTCAAAGAGAAAACGAGCGTTAGGTTGCTAACCCGAATCCAGAGTAGCCACAGACTGACCAACTGAAGTTAACTTGTTTTAAGCCAACCAGAACGTACGTCCCGGCACAGAAGTAAGTAAAACGTGAGTTGTAAATTTTTAGTTTTGAATCGAGTTAATTAATTCTGAGTAAAACATCCATGTGAAAAGTTTTGTAAGTCACAGACGAGAGTTATATTGTCCTGTTTCTGATCGAACAGTTTGCAATTAAAAATCATCTAATAATTATACCAATTGAGGCGGTTTTGACTAAGCGCACAGCTAAATTCAGAATAAAAAAAGGTTTGGAGGGAATTAAAGACTTTTAAAGAGTTGCCGAGTTTTGCTTAACCAAAAAAAGGAAATAAATAATTAATGATTTATAAGCAATAAGTAAACTTTGAAGTTCCTTTACGTTGCATGTTATTATGAATTTAAGAATCCCTTGTATAAAACTTCTATAAATATCAACTGGGTTCCTTGAAAAAAATACTTTCTTCCATTGATATGAATTTTTAAAATTCACTTAGGTTCAAATTAATGTAAAGTGAAGACAAGTATGATTCTATTTTTGGTAAGTTTTTCTTGGAATTCAAATGTCAATAGTCTTATTAATATATCCTGAGAAACTAAGGCGGAAGAGAGCCAGGAAAGGCAACACCTGCCCCGCAATCGTTTTCACTTAGGTTGCCCCCTTCTGCTAATCAATGAAGCAAAGCTTTGAGATCTTAATGCATCATTTCGATTGTAGTGGAAACAACAAAATTCGAGAAAAATCCTGTTTTTGTTTCATTTTTTTGTTTTTTGTCGTTTTGAATTAACAGTTGCTTTGAAACATGTTAATGGTAATGCTGAAGAGGTTGTCCTTCATGGGAACGTAGGATTTCATCCACAGATCGATTCAAAGTTTAGAACAAATATTTTGCCTCCCTAGTATTGCCTCCCTAGTATATTTTACCTCTAAGCTCAGTCCTTAATAGAGCAAATGGAAAAAAATGCCAAATAGAATTTCAAAGGAAATCAGACAAGTTTATGTAAAGCATATTAATTTCCCTGAATGACCTCGTTCAGTCAAAGCAACGAATCTCTAACTTTTTTTAGCTCCCTCTTTCCCCAGTGTCCCATTCGCCTTTATATTTATACCTCGTTGTAGAAACATCCTGGCTAATGGATAAAAACGTTCGTCGGAAAATTAAAAAGAATCAATTCGATTTGAGGATCGATATATCTCTTCAGTTTGCGTAGTAGAATACACAAGTTTCATGTGAATCTAAAACGTTCCACCTTCGGACGTGTACTGCTCGAAATGTTACCCAAAGCCCCTGTGCAAACAGACGCAACATTGTTAGCCAAGAACTCCCAACATTGTTGGATGTTACATGTTGCATCCGTTTCCACACCCTGTTTCATGTTGTTGCTGTTTGTTGGGAGTTGTTGAGCAAAGTTTGAAACCGGTCAAAGTTTTAGCTACGTGGAAATGGACGTAGCAACTCCGTTTGCACGCGGTTTAGGATTGATTTGTTCGTTAATGGAAGCTGGGTGCAAAAGGAATGTTTTGACTCAAAACTATAGTTAAAACAGCGTTGAAAAGCTACCGTGTCACTGAGTTTTTTTTTTTTTTGGTTCGTTTGATTTTTTAGCACAGACATGCTAACCCATTCTCAATAAAAACGAAGTCTTATCACACCGTAAAAGTCAGTTTACATGCCATTTCTATCTACATATCAAACAGTCACTCAGCTGCCCTTTGGCTACTAGGGGACTGGTACCCAATACTCCTTCCATTTTCCAAGAAAGATTTAAAAAGATTCCTAGAACTAAAGACAATTGTTTCAAGTTTGCAGGTGAATTTTCTTCTCGTCGTCCCTGTAAACGTTGAAGAAAGGCATACATCAATTCTCGCAAAATTCAGAGAGCAGGTAAAAACAGTGAGTCGGTATCATTTCATGAGCCGCTTTTGATTTCCAACTTAGTTAAATTAGAAATATATAAGGCCATTAACCTCAGTATCCGACTGCATTTTGTGTTATAAGTTGTCCTTGGCGACGAAAATGCAGGCAAATCACACTAACACAAGTTCATGATCATGATTTGTGCTATTGATTAATGCTGGAAAAACCATTTCTTTTAACTTTTTTAGCGACTTTTTTTAGCTATTTTTTGAAATTTTAATTTGGCGTCTTTTATCGCCTTTTTTGTGACTTTTTTGGGCGACATTCTTAGCGATTATTACACCGATTTTTCTTAGCAACGCATTTTGCTATGCTTTTTGACTTTTCACTTGAGGGCTTAAGTAGTCCAAGTGAGTTTAACCGGTAATTAAGTGGAAATTCGTGCCCAAACAGCTCCAGCGGCTATGGTCGGTGGCTTGGAATATAGCCGGGAAACACAAGAAGAACCGATAGAGCACACTGATGACATGACCAAACAATCGCCATTGCAAACACGTAGCCCGCAAAAAATTTCAATTCTACACTATAACTAACCCTCACAAACCTACTTTAATCGGTAGCCCAATAGTAGTAGCAGTAGCAGTGACGGACTATACTTTTTTCTTGATCGGCTGTTACAATCGAAGGCACATAGACTTATGTTAAAGATTCTCGGACTGGTGTTTGTTATAACTAGGACCGGATAACTGCAGGTGGCGGATGGCAAATGGAAAAATGCGGACAGAAAAATAGGATACTTAAAAAGTCATACTTCAAAAGAAAAAATGAAAAAGATTTCAGTCTAAAATGAGGCAATGAAAAGTATATATGCTTCCATGAAATAGATGAAGTCAATAGAATCTTTAACATCAGACACCTGCCTCTGTGCTGTCGGAAAGTGAAAACTTTTATTGGTTGCTATCATTCTTTCCTACAGGCTCAAAATCTTAAGGCTTCAAAGTCGCTATTGTTCTCGATTCGTATTTTCAATGTCTCCCAAAATGATCTGAAAATACACTCCGGCCAGTGTAATCTTATATCATTCCCAAATACTAGTTCTCATTGGCGGTATATCCATTATATAATCGACAGCCTTTCAACGCAAAGTCCGATTTGTACACAATCTTTAATTTCAACCGAGTCTAGGTCTGATTAACAGAAAAAATCTAAGAGCAAACATCCGGTTCTATAGCAAAAGGTTTTTTAATTCCTATTTTAATCTTAAAGGCTTGATTCGCATAAACATAAGTGTTCTTCAATGTTTGATAGTTTAGGGTGTAGAAGAGCGGAATTTTTTTTTGCAGGCTAGGTGTTTGCAATAGCGCTTTTTTTAATTTAGTCATCGATGTGTTATATCGGCCCTCCCAGTGTTTCTTATATTCTAAGTCATAGTAACCTAGAGTTGCTTTCAACCACGTATTTCTTCTCACCAGTTATAGTCGTATGTGCAACATGAGACTACAAAAAAATTCGCTAAAATAAAGGAAGAAAAAGAAATGCCTTTTCCGCATGCACTAACTTGTGAGCTACTGTAGCGGGGCAGCACCTGGTTACATTATAAAACCGGGGCATAATCCAGGGCTAGTGAGAATAATCGAGAGTTGTCGATGGAATCGCCCGAAGTTTTCGTTTTTTCTTGGCCAGGCTAAGTATCCGACATGTTTCAAAGCATAACATTGTATTCGCGGCTTATACAGCTCGCTCAGCTCGGAGGCAGAGTCGTGGCAAGTCTAACCCTTCCTATTTTTTCGTAGTTTTTTCCGGCGTGATATTTTGTCCATTTCCACCTGCTTGATGGTATTGTCATCAGCATATTATTAAATATCTTATAACATCAAAGAAATTCACGCAAATGATGGGTATTGCTTGTCTGTTATTTAATACAACAGTCACGCCAGCATTGCCAGCAGAAACTCCCCAGGCTGTTGTGTGTGCTAACAGGCAATTTTAGAACCGACTACCTGTGTCAGCTTGTATTATGCTGACTGCCTAATGTCACAATTCAGAACCTCGTATACACATCGCTTTATTTTCCGCAGTTCTTTAGGTATGTCAAGACAAGTAGAGACCCCTGTGGCCAAATATGGCAAAAGTAGTGATTTCGGGAAAGTGTTGGATTTCATTCAATCCATGATAAGCAACGAAACCCTTCGACAAGCCTTTGACATTCCGCATTTAGTCGTGGTAGGTCGGCAAAACATGGCGAAGACAACCCTGATAAACCGCCTGATCGGGCGATATCTTCTGCCCATGCGAAGGGATGAAACAGCCAACACCCTTCAGGCGCGGACCACGTGCCCCATCATACTGAACCTGCGCAATGGACTGGAAACAGCTGTAGAAGTAAAGTGTGATGCATACCCTGATATTGGAGGAAGAGTAGAAAAACCCACGGATGATGTGGTGGAGAAATTCCTTACAGACTTCTCTACCTATCTTCTTAAAGAAGAGGGGACTCTTATATCCAAGACCCCAGTTAAAGTGACCCTTCAAGGTAATATATTGATCCAAAAGTAACTAAAAGTTAAGTTGCGTACATTTACTCCACTGGAAATACGGTGCTGTAGTGATCTCCTCGGTTCACTTTTATCGCAAGTGCTCCGTTAATAGAATTTAAATTATGTTTTCCAGAAACGAAAAAAGAAAGCGCAGTGAACTAAAAAATAGGAAGAACGAGGAGGAAAAGAGTAAGAGAAGAGAAATGGGTATGGTCTGAACCGCTTAGTTTTCAAAAATCTGCTTGCAGTTGATTTCATATTTGGCTGCAAAAAGTCTCAGTTACAAAACTTAGTGCCACCGTTGTTGTGCCATCCTAGTTGTTTGTGAAAGGCCTTTAGTGTGGCCTAGATTTGAAATAACCTTTTTAATCTGTCTGCGCCAGGTCCCGACCTCACGACTCTAACCTTGGTTGATCTTCCTGGCGTTCATTTCGCCAACAATGATCCTCGAATGAACCACGCGACCCAATCTCTTGTGTTAGACTACATTGAGAAGAACACAAAGAGCATCATAGTGATAGTGTCCGAGGTAGGGGACCTCACAGGAGACAATGCTATTAATCTGGTCATGGCAAAAGCTGCAGACTTTAGGAGCCGCACTATCTGTGTACTTACCAAACCGGACAGGCTGAGAGATTCCGATGACATGGGCATCAAAGTAGCCTTGAATCAGTCAAGTTTTACCCTGGAAGAAAACCGCTTTATTTTGTTGAGAGGTAAGCATAAGATAAAGTTACGTTGTTGGTTGTTCTTGTTTTTGTTTCTTTGTGGGGGGGGGGGGTTGTTGTTGCTGTTTTTCTTTTTTATGCAAAAGGAGACCAGAATACCCTACGAGTAGCCTCCGGCTAGGCACTCCTCGCAGGGTAGGGAAATGCTTTACATATACTACTTGGAAGCTAACTGAAGAAGTAGCAGTTTTTTAAATAATTAAAAGTATAATTTCTGTTTATTGTAAAGGTCTCCAGTTAGTATCAACTCAGTGAGCATGGAAACTTTCATTCTCTGGAACGACCCCTTTCAGCTACCTGGTTATTTTTAAACACATCCCTAAAGATCCAAACTTATCGTAAAAAAATGTCAGTCATTTTTTATCTAAATTTTTGACTGACAACGAGTTTTTCGTGGGCTTTGTGCAAGGGGCTCAATAGGCTTAACCGTACACTTGACAAAAGTCAACCTCACGAGTTTCTTGGCGGGCGGAGCGAGCTTTTTAGGCGGCCTAGCCTGCGTAGCAAGCGTTTCCAATCGACGTTATTGCTCTCTTCTCTTCTTCTTTTGTTTGCTCAACTTTCTCGACGAACTCGCACGGAAACGCTTGCTACGCAGGCTAGGCAGCCGAGCGAGGGACGAAGTCGTGAGAGGTTCCGCGCCATATGAAATCGGACAAAGGACTTTTTTGAAAGTCTAGGTTAACCGTTACGGGCCCTAAAACAGATATTTGAGGTAAAAATGGAAGTTTGTAACCGTTAGTCGTAAAAAAGTTGACGGTGAAAATGTTTTCTAGTCCCAATTTTTCATGATGCTCGTGCATGGCTTATTAACCCTATTTCGGTCGCATTTTTTTTCTATCCCAGGGGAAACTGGGGGCCTATTTCTCGAAAGGTCCGATAATGAACGGGAAGCTGTTGTTGTTTACATGCAAGATAGAGGTTTCAATGGTTATGTAGATAATATGAAAAACCAATGCAATCGGTTAACGCGATACAAATTGAAATGGTTTCTTTGCAAGCGCCTTTTGGAACATTTGATTTCGGGCCCAAAAAGTTACCGGGACCTTTCGAGAAACGGATCCCTGGAAAACACCTTGGAAGCTAAAACCGATGGAAAATTTTAAACTTTTTTCACAAACAATAGAGCTTTCTTCGTCAGATATCTACGGAACCCACCGCGGAGAATAAATCGTTTATAGCCGCAGAAAAGGCAAAATATTTACCCTAAATACCTTCCCCATACTGAGACCCTCCTGTGTGGCTACATTAAAGAGGTTTCACTTCATATTAAAATTAGAGTGTTATTTTTTTTTCCATAAAATCCGTTGTCTTCTTGAAATTGAAGTTTTTCTTATGACAATTATTGTGAAACGATTGGGAACAGGAAAAGATGCAACCGACCCGAATGAGAAAGACTGGGATGCAAAAACGACTCGTTTAAAGGAGAGAGAGTGGTTCGAGGGTCATCCCCAGTACAAAAGCATCCTTCATTTGTGCGGTATTGACCGACTTATGGACACTATGATCTCACTTCTGGCCGAGAAAATGGGCAGTGAAATTCCAATTTTAGTGAACCAAATGGAAGAGAGAAAGAAAAAGGTAAGGAGACAAAATGCATCTCTGTCGATTATATTCAGTTCCACAACAAGAAACCGTTTAACCTGTTAACAACATAGTAGAACAGAACAAGATTCTCCAGTCGGATTGGCTATAAGCATCTCTCATTTCAGCATAAGGGCAATGTAAATGGACGTCATTTAAAGTATGTGTCACCGTTTGCGATAGGACATTAGGTACTGAAAAATTGATGACTCTGCAAATTTTATGCAAATAAGGCTCTGGGTTAAGCCTTGAGATCGCATATTTGCCTCCGGGGCCTTCCCCTACATCTACCTCATTTCACAATGAATATCGAATATATAGGACTGAAATTTTCTGAGAAAGCCAATTGTGTGATATCCTTTCAATTTTCAGAAGTAACCTTTTTGCGACTCGCTACTTCTAAATGAGGTTCATATGCAAAAATCACCTACTTTGCAAAGAAAGTTTAAATCGCCTCTTGAAGCGCTTTTATTTCATACAGATCTGTTTTTGGTTTGTAGGTAGATTTGGAGTTGCAAAAGCTGTCCGAAAGCGAAGTTCCAGAGTCCAGTAATGAAAAAAGGAGGCTTGAGATGAAAGTTAAACATAATCTTGTCACCCAGCTGAGGGACCTTCTCCATAAAAACAGGTCTAAAATTCGAGGAGGAGAACAAGTGAGAGCTTTGTTCAATGAATTCCACAATGATGTTTACAAGGTTAGNTGTTTTTGGTTTGTAGGTAGATTTGGAGTTGCAAAAGCTGTCCGAAAGCGAAGTTCCAGAGTCCAGTAATGAAAAAAGGAGGCTTGAGATGAAAGTTAAACATAATCTTGTCACCCAGCTGAGGGACCTTCTCCATAAAAACAGGTCTAAAATTCGAGGAGGAGAACAAGTGAGAGCTTTGTTCAATGAATTCCACAATGATGTTTACAAGGTTAGCGAAAAAGATATTTTGTGATATTAAGTGGACATAACGGGTTGTTTTCCGTATATTTAAGCAGCTTTTTTTTTCTGCCAGAATGATCTCCACTATATTTTCTTCTGTCATCAAAAGGCCTCCATTAAATTGGGGTCTTCAGCAAACGCTTGGGAATTTTTGGATCTTTTTTATAATTTTTTAAAATAAAGAAATACTGAATGATGCTTGAAATAATCGAAAAAGCGACGTTTTAAGTTTTGAATGAGACTGTAATCAACATTTAGTTTGAAGTAAATTATAATACTTCTTGTAGACAAAGTTCAGTTGGTCCCCCACCACAACAAGGGGCCTCACTCGTGAATCCGTTTGAGGACTTACCCAGGTTTTTTCAACATGACAGTTTACACTTTTCTTCCCTTTATTCTCAATTCATACACTTTGAATGAACGTCTCTATAATGAAGATCTCAGTATCACGAATGATGCTCCTCGTCTCAAGTACATCTTTATAGCCAGTAAAAACCATAACGGGATGAAAATGTCATTCAGGGCGGACATGCTCTGCCAAGAGAACATAAAAGGCTTTTATGTTCTCTTGGCTCTGCTATGTCCTTTCCTTCTAAGCCTTTCTCTGAAAGATTAACCTACCAAAGTAAGAAATTTTTTCCTCATTAATCTGTAAGCCAAATGTATGGGACAACTGAGACTGGCGATATATAACCGGTGCCCCCTGTTTAAGGCACCCAATGCATCCAAAGGACCAGCTGTTCCAAGGCATTCCGCCAAACCAACGGAATTACACTACATCATTAGGCAGAAAAAAATAATTATTATGATCAAAGTTTCCGGTGGGGATTTTTAATTCCAAAACATCGGTAAAGCAGCATACTAACAGTAAGAAATTGTTTTAATAGCCAGGATTTGCACGATGGCGTCATTTTACTACTACGACGTACGACCAGAATCCTTTTGGTTTTTCCTTTCACAATCAACTTTGGTAATCCCAGCGAGGTTTGAATAAGAAAAGCCTTAATTCGCACAAGAAAGCAAACCCATGAAGGATTCTGGTCATAGTAGTAACATGACGGCATCATGCAAATGGCCTTTTTCTCGTTTGGAGTATGCATGGAGCTGACCCAAGAAAATAGCCACATCCCTGGCTTCATTTGAAATCAAGCAGGTTTTTCAACTGTTCGCCAATTTTTCAGTAGTTTATCAACCACACTAGCTCAATTAAAGCCAGAATAACTAATGTAAGAAAAGATTTTTCATTTATTCTTTATTTGCCTCGAATATCTAGCTTTCAAATATTCGCTTTGCCGTTGTTTTGGTAATTCATATTGATAGTGAATTCGCCTAAAGAGGTTTTAGCTCCGCAAATAGGCTCGTGCCATTTTATTGTCCTTTATCGGTTTAAGTTGCTTTGTGTCCGCTAAGTAATAATTGTAGAAAAGCCATCAGTGTTCCTTAGCAAAAAAAACTTATTGATCGTCCTCTTTTCAATTACACACATTTTACTTCAATGTTGACTTTAAAAAGAATAATTAGTTTCTGAATAATTGTTATTTATCTTTAGTCTATCTATCGTGATTTTACAAAAGATGGTGTCTACTCATAGTATCGCCTTTCGTACAAGTGTAACTCTTTTTAATTGCAATTTAGCTATATTTATTTGCGAATATATCTTTCATTAAAAGTTGTTAGTTAAATTGAGGTAAAAGGTGAATTTTGAATATGATAGGTTTTCCTGTCTCGTAATTTTTAAATAGATCGGTTTTTGTTGAAGATGAAAACTTGCCATTAGTCTACGCTTCCAGTGGCGGATCCAGACTTCAGATAAGGAGGGTGGGGGGGGGGGTCATCCAGACCCTGGGATAAGGGGGGGGGGTTCTTAAAATAAGGGGGACCTTGCCCCCCGGGCCCCTCCGCTGGACACGCCACTGGCTTCTTCCTGTTTAAAGAGCCGATGGCTGAACTTGCATTTTCATCCATAAAGACTTTTTACATAAACGCTGTTTTCCTGACCTGGCTAGGTCTTTGTCTCAGTACTTTTACTTTCTAAAATATCAACAGTAACAAAAGATTTCAGGTTAAAAATATAGTTTGTATTAAGTTTTCATTTAACTCTAAGCGATTTCTGTTTATATTTCTATTGTATTAAGCCAGTTTAACTTTTTTCGATTACATTGTCCATTACATCGACGATTTCAGAGCTGATTACATTGCCGATGTAGTACCTACATCGTCGATAACATCGCTGATTATTAGGGGCGTGTCCTGCCTGAGTTATTGCCATTTGATCCGCTGAAGAATAAACGCTGTTGGAACCAAAGTTTAGTCCTGTTTGAGCTACTGTGGTACCAGTAAGTGGTTTGATTTCGGACCTACAGAGAAGTGACGGCTCTTCCCCGCAAGCGAGTTGCCCTTTGAGCCTAGTTTCTCCCACCAGTCTAATCTAGAGTTACGCACGAGTTCCCGTTAGGCCTCCCAAAGTTTAGTTCTGCCTCACTACTGCTTTTCCTTCCGTCACACTATAGCCAAACGGCTTGAAAATCTTCTTCGTATACAGGTAGACCCGCTGGTTCTGCAGGATGATGACGAGATACGTAGGAGGCAAAGGGGTTTGGCGGGCGTATTTGCCCCTCTCGGAGACAGCAGTGAAGACAGCCAGCTGCTTGAGGAGCTACTCTACGAGTCATACACATATGAAAAGAAGACCCAGGGAAACAAGGGTATGAAAACCACAGGGTTTATAGCTCTTGATAGTTATGTCAGTAATAGACTAGTTAGCGGGCAAGGTGATTAAATTTCAGACAGTCAGTTCAAAACGTACAACGGTACCGTCGGGTACAGTGAATTAATATATACGTAGTAGAGTACTTTATTCTTGTCAGCCTTACACACGTTTTTCACAACAGCTCCAATTCAATCGCCAACTTCGCCAAATTATTGGCGACTTAAATAACTCATGTAGGTACGTTCGGGCTTTCTGACCATGAGGGTTACAAACAAAACTCCCTGCTCTGTTGAACATGAAAACAAGGCCTACAAAATATGCTTTACAACACATTTTACTGCGCTTTTCAGAAACATGCGAACTCTTAAGTTCAAAAGCCGCCTTCACAATTACGTTTTTCGCTGCCGTCAATCATAATTACGATCGCAACGAGCCTTGAAACACAGAAACACACAAAACGGATGGAAATCCACCAATGACAAATCACAAACCATGACCTTTTGAACCCGTTGAAGTAAAATTTTGTGTCCTAAGAGTTCGTTAAGATGATTAATGGCAGTGAAAAACGCAATCGTCAGTTAGCTTTTGCACTTCAGAATTCGCATGTTTGTGAAAAGCGCAGTAAGAAACTTCTTCACAAAACTAATCATACTTGTTTCTTTGTCCTTTCAAATTTGTCCAATATGTTATCCGGATATTTTCTGTGTAACTATTGTATCGTGAGNCCTTGAAACACAGAAACACACAAAACGGATGGAAATCCACCAATGACAAATCACAAACCATGACCTTTTGAACCCGTTGAAGTAAAATTTTGTGTCCTAAGAGTTCGTTAAGATGATTAATGGCAGTGAAAAACGCAATCGTCAGTTAGCTTTTGCACTTCAGAATTCGCATGTTTGTGAAAAGCGCAGTAAGAAACTTCTTCACAAAACTAATCATACTTGTTTCTTTGTCCTTTCAAATTTGTCCAATATGTTATCCGGATATTTTCTGTGTAACTATTGTATCGTGAGTTTATAACATATTTGTTTGCAGAAGCTGTTCAGATAATCGAGGTTAAGAGTCCTGTTGATCAACTGATTCCAATAACAGAAAATCTTGTCAAAAACGTGGAGAAAACCTTACGAGAAATAGTCCAGAGAGCGATCAATGAAAACTTTTCCAAGTTCCCTACCGCCTTGAAAGTGGTTGAAACGAACGTGGTGAACAAAATTTTCAAAACCAAGCGAAAGCAGACGACTACATTCATCCAGCACTTTATTGAGATGCAGAAAAAGAGTATTGACAGAGTCTTCGCTCCTGTCCCGTTTCCAGATGAACTTAAAATCTGGGATTCAACGCTTTTGCAGAATCGTAAACCACATCCCTGTATGGAGTCTCCAATGATGTTTCACTTGAAGTCACTGGCTGAGAAGCTTTATCCAGAAGGAATGATCAAAGATATTGAACGCGGAAATAACCAGGGAAACTTCAAGGTCAGTAGTAAATCAAAAGACTACGACGAGTAAACTAACCCTGTGGCTTTTTGACGCTCTTTCCTCTTCAGGTCGTGTTGCTCAGGTCTTTTGTTTCAGATCATGATTACGGACGATAGCATGACATACTCTTTTTACGATACTTATACTTAAATATTTCCAGATCTCCTAAGTTTGCGTCAAGTGACACGCGCTCAATTTCCTCCAACTGCACGTCTGTCACCCCTAATAAGTCCACGACCCCCTTTTTCTCTTGGACAATTATACCCAATTTACCTCTTCAGAGGGTTGTAGCATGCAAGTCATGGATGGGCAACAACTTCCTAGTCCTTCGATCTATATTCTGCAATTCCATCTTGTTCCAACAACTCCAACTCCATATAGCATCACTTTTCTCAGGTATTAATTGACAGCATTGTGTTTCCTCTACTCAGCTTGCACTTCTGCCCAATTTTTTTTGCTTTTTGCTTTTTGCTTTTTTGCTTCTATGGAAATGTTTATTCGTTAGCTTGTCCTTTGTTCTATAAATCATCATACTCAAGAAACCCTAAGTACGGCCATCCTCTTCTTTAGTGTTCACTCGGTCCTGCATCAGCCAGATCCACTCCTTCAAATTCAAATTTAACCCTCTCAGCCTTCCCTATTTTCAAAGCCAGCACCCTTAATTTGATACATAATAAATATTATCACCATAATAGCGTAATGAAATACAAACGTGTTTAATTTAGTTGAGACAAAATTTAAAGTTGTTTCTGGAAGAGGGCGTTGACAGCTTTTCTTTCTTAGGATCTCGAGGATATGAAAAAAACAAAAAAGAATGTTGTGCGTTACTTCAATGAGATCAAAATGAACGTCTGCGATACAGTCCCTCGCTGCATTCTTCATTTTTTCATTACTCAATTCGTGGATGACTTTGAACACGCCTTGGAACAAGAAGACTTGGTCGAGTTCTTGAAAGAGAAGCAGGAAATTCGAAACAGGCGTATCCANCTTTTTTGCTTCTATGGAAATGTTTATTCGTTAGCTTGTCCTTTGTTCTATAAATCATCATACTCAAGAAACCCTAAGTACGGCCATCCTCTTCTTTAGTGTTCACTCGGTCCTGCATCAGCCAGATCCACTCCTTCAAATTCAAATTTAACCCTCTCAGCCTTCCCTATTTTCAAAGCCAGCACCCTTAATTTGATACATAATAAATATTATCACCATAATAGCGTAATGAAATACAAACGTGTTTAATTTAGTTGAGACAAAATTTAAAGTTGTTTCTGGAAGAGGGCGTTGACAGCTTTTCTTTCTTAGGATCTCGAGGATATGAAAAAAACAAAAAAGAATGTTGTGCGTTACTTCAATGAGATCAAAATGAACGTCTGCGATACAGTCCCTCGCTGCATTCTTCATTTTTTCATTACTCAATTCGTGGATGACTTTGAACACGCCTTGGAACAAGAAGACTTGGTCGAGTTCTTGAAAGAGAAGCAGGAAATTCGAAACAGGCGTATCCAGTTTCGGGCCGAGTCCGCCGCTCTAGAGGAAGCGTTGCCCCGCACTGACGACGTGTTGAAAATGTTGCTGCGCATACAGGGCGGGTCGGGTGAAAGTGAGATGTCGTAGTTTTAATACTAACGCTGGTAACCATGGCAGAGGGTAGATTACCTTTTTGTTATCTTTGTGTCATATTTTGTCCGTTTGAAAACAAAGTAGTACATAGCTTTAAGAATAAAATCATTTTTCAACCATCGAGAGGAAGGGCAGAAAATTAATTGAAATTAAAAAAAAACATAATCAATAGATTACTGTATTTATATTTCCAATCTAAAAATCGTATCTTTAAATCGGATTATTGTTGCGAACGAACTCCAGATTTTATGATTTGGTGACAAAGCAACTGAAATATCGGTTTTAGTTGACAATAAACTTTTCCAAGTGGTTACTTTTCAGCACAAAAAGCAATTAAAGTTGGACACGCAAAGTGAACTACAAAAAGGGTAGGAGAAGGATAATAGGTGGCTTAGATACAATATAAATAACCATTAGTAGGACAAGCTGTTGATAGGAATGCCAGTCTAGAGAGATTAATACTGCAACTAAATAAAACTGTGTAATTGCTAGGCATTTGTCGCTCTTTTGTGTTAAGTCATACTAATTTCTATTATCATTTGCTGCAACTTTTTCTTCCTTTTGATTGGCCGAGAGCCCACCAGGTGACCCGCAAATAACTGGCTACAAATAATGGTCTGCTCATGCGTAGTTTCGTCCAATTGTGTCTGGCTGCAAATAGTATTAGTCTTGCGTATGGCTTCGCTTCCCGAAGATATTCATTTAAAAAAAAAAACAAACTCGGTGATCGAATGATAAACAATTATTGAACTCGGTTCTCGCGAGTGTGATTTGTCATTGTCTCGCAAATGAATTATTTGCTGAAGCCGAAGGCTGGGGCAAATAATTGATCTGCTCGCTATTGACAAATCACGATATTTTGCTCAACCTAGTCGAATGATTGTTTATTGTTGTAAGGGGAAAATATTCATGCTAGGGTCACGGAATGTCGATTCGGGAAATCAGTCGTTAAAAATCGACGATCGTAAAATCGGGGTTCTATTGTATATGCGAAAACAACATTAAAAGCTCAATTCCTAAAGCGTCAAACGAAATAAAATCCTCCTCACTAACATTACCCATGTGTAACTTTTTCGTTTTGACACCATTTTCGTAAAGAAATTTTTCAAAACTTTAACTCATAGTACAATCCACTTTGGATGAATGAAAAAAAAAAACAATAAATCTGTCTGATATGAAAACGAATTTAAAGTCATAAAAAGCTGACGTTTTGAGCACGAGCCCTTTTGGAAACCCCCTCCTTCAAATTTCCTCACGTTGGCCAATTTACCTTCTGGTAGAATGTTTGACTTTTACGTTAACAATACTCCAACCAAAATATTGACTATACGTATACCTGTAACTTCCTATTTGATGTAGCAAGTTGTTTTATTTTAGTTTTAGATTAGCTTAGGGGGGCGCCATTATGGAAACCAGTGAGTCGTCAGTAGTTGATGACCCTCAATAAAAAAGTGTAATTTTTAATAATATTGTTAATAGTAGTATTATTTTGTTTTTGTCATCATTATCAATATTATTATTGTTGTTATTATTATTATTACAAATGGTAGAAAAGTGCTCGCGATTGTTATGTTTCCGACGGGAAAACTAATTCTTTTTACTCCCAAGTCTTTAGAGAATGTGCAAAACAATTCCTTTCTCGTTGAAAAAGGCAAACGTTATAAATGGTGAGGGAAAAAGTCACCTGGACATATCTGATGTTTGTTTGGTTATCTCTCTTCTGACAAATTCTTGCGTTTTACTGGCTTACCCCACCCACCGCTACATTTTGTTATTGTTTACTTATTTATTTATTTTGGTTTGGTTTGGTTTTTCAGAATCTGGCCTGTTAAGAGATTAAAAAAAAACCCGCGAATGTGATCAAAATTCCTTCAATATTTATTGGTTCAACAATTTTGATTTTGCAAGAGATTTTCTGATAATCTTTCTTTTACTACAATTACAGCAGGCCTGCCATCAATCCAGGAGAAATTCCATCTTAAAGTCCGAAAGACAATAAAATGGTCTTCATAGCTACTTCGCCTTGGTATAAATATTATCTACAGCACTCGTACGCTCGTGCAGGAACCCGGTATTAAAGGTGTGATTTTCATAAGTTGGTATTAAGTACTGCATTTAATTCACTCATGCCAAAGAGGTTTCCAGGTCACTTTTGATTAGTTCTATTCACGTTCTATCTGCAACTTCGTCTTGTCTTGAGTCTTAAGATTTCAACTTCAAGTACATGGAGGAACAAAGTGACCATTTATAACAACATTTCTATAAAAGAAGCAGTTCTTTAGTAAGGTGAGATCCGCTGAACTGGATTTTCAGCAGCTTTCAGCTTGTAAGGGGCGGAAGAGAAGTTTCTGTCTCCTATACATGATCTGGATTAACAGTTTGAACTTTCATGATTCCGTATAAAGCCAGATACACCCAATCATTTCATCCCAATACAACGCCACTTTTCCTAGAGGATGGGAGAGGGCCTATCGAAGGACACGATTTTTTCGCATGGGTCCCCTTTCAGGGCAACTTTCATTAGGCTAATTGCATTCTCCTTGATCGCTTGTTATGATATTGTGCACCAAGATCGTGACGCATTTCCGGTACTGCTGACGTCATCGTCGTCATCTGAGTCTTCGCCCTCCGGTTGGTCTTCGTCGTCTTCGCTACTTTCCGTGTCGCTTATATCAGGCAGACTGTAACGACGAAGGTGTTTGGTCGTGACGTAGACATCATCCGTTTCTGTTCTGCAAGAAAAACCGGAAGAGATGAGAGCACATTTGTCGACAAGTGATTGGTTGATTCGTGTTGTACAAGGCCTGGATACGGAGAAGCATTCCACGAGCATGGTTTCAGAATTCCTAACAAAAACTAATCTATGGAGGATTTTGACCGGTCTTTTACGTATTTCAACTTCCTCCTGAAGCACCTGTACATAGATAACATTAACCTATCCGTTCCCTAACTCAATAGCAAAGACAGTATCATAATCAATTGAAAACATTAAGGGGGTGATTACATTGCGAATTTCAGCCCGGTGGGGCGAGCTGAAAAATTGCTGCGATTACATAACAAATTTCAACCCGGGCTGAACTAGAAACAACCACACTGCGTAAGCGCACGTTGCCTTTTCAGCCTGGGCTGACATTCTATTTCGATTACATGGACTTTTTGTGGACTTTTCAGCCCGTTTGCCCGGGCTGAAACCTTCTCCACGTAATCGCCACGTTCATTTCAAGGCATGTAATCACATCTAACTATCGCTATATCTAACTATCGCTATCCACTTTTTCGAACCATGTCCGCCATAGGCAGCCCAAAGAAAGTGAGGGCAAAATTGCTCGTCTTCACTTACCTAGCGAAAAAAAAACTTAACAGGTTAAACTCACCTTGAACGCTTCTTGACTTTTGAACTTGGTAGCTGATCCCAGAGTTTCAGCTCCAGCCCTCCTGTACACATTCTCTGCACCGTCACCTGGTCACGTGTTGTTTGTGTGCATGACAGACACGTGATACTTCCCGTGCATTCGTCATCTACGGTTGCTAGGTATTCCTCAGAAGGAATGCTGCGGACTAAACCAACACAAACAAGTAAGTCAAGTAAGGAAGTACTCTCTTAATTTACCAACGCTCGGTACGTAAACGGAAATCAACATTGTCCTTCTGAACTCGGCTTTCAGATACCTTTCTGTGAGTAATGTCATATGTTTAACAATTCAAATGAGGTTAACTTTTTCAAATGAATTTCTTACCGTTCAAGTATCCATTACCGCGATCAAGATCGTAGCCCGCGCTCACAAGACATGAACCCGAGGTTGCCAAGGCACCAGTAGATCCGAAGTCTGTCACGTGATTTCGAATCTTACGGATTTTTCCTAAAGAGTAAAAGAAAGAAGGCGGTCAATAAACCCACAAGCAATTTAACCAGATCTGGGCTATGCTCCAGTAGCGCCTTGTGCCACCCTAGGGATAAAGCTTTTGCTAGGCGACTAAGAATCATCCCTGGTCGGTTGTTGGTTCTCGTCTGTTTATTCGGTATTTACTTATTTATTTATTTATTCCTTCATTCTTTACATATTTATCTTTTTACCTATCTGTCTATTGGCCCCTGGAGTTAACCTCTATACAGGACAACCTAAATTCATAGGTTAACGCTTTTCAGGCTACCCTCAATTTTTCTCGGAGCACAACCTTGTGCAGAAGAGATAAATCTGTTTTCAAACCACACCACATACTATAGCCCACCTGACGTCAATTCCATGGCTTTTATATTCACTCCATCGTCTCCCCAGTAAACTGTTTCCTGTGTTGTTGCCAGGCAACGCACGCGTCTCGGTTTAACAGTCACATTTCCGGCCGTGTTGTCAGTAGGGGCCTGGTCGGAGCTCATCACCGGCTTGAGAGAATTGTCCCGGATGTCCCAGACCTTTACCACCCCGGTGGCTGAACCGCTGATCACTCGGTTGTCCTGGAACTAAGCGATACGTACAAGAAATAAGAAACTCTGAAACAGCCCGCGGACAAGACCTTAAACAGAGTTACCATGGTTACCTTGACAGCCGTGACGGCATCTTCATCATGTCCCCGAACGGATCGCACAGCTGTTCCGCTTTCCATGTCCCAGAGTTCCACCTTTCCGCCATCTGAAGAAAACAGTAATTACAGTTATAAAGATACACATAGACGAATCTAATAAACGCTTCAGTAAACTGGAGTTCCTTTTTGTACCAAACCGTAGGGGTGGAATTCAAAGTGATTGCGTGATGGCTGCACATAATTTGCGAGGTGAACGGATATTTGTATAGTTTAAGTGATTTTGCGTGGTACAAGCCAACATGTTAAGCACAGAATAATGGGATTTAATCATGTACAATGAACTGCTTGTTCTCGTTTTACAACTCATCCCGGATTTGCAAACAATCTAGTTTCACGCAAAGAAAAATACAGTTTAGCTACGACTGTATTATATTCTCTTTATGGCACAAAACGCCAAGCCACCCTTGCCCGGTGATTACATATATTATGCACTATAATTTTTTGCTTTTGGACGTCATAGAATTTGGGTCAAAATATCCTGTTATCTTCCGGTATGTATGCCGCCCACGGTGTATGACTTTCGGAAGTCGGGGAATCGAGTCTTGAAAACAGGGTTTAACATTCTATATTCAACGTCTTGAACGGGTTGTCTTTCTGGACCGAAAGCCTAGTGTTTATAAAGGAAAACAGCTCATCGACTCCAAAAATTATAGTATGATATTTGCCACTTAAATAAACAAATGATTTTTTTCCTAATCTTCAACGGGGGTAATGTATTTTTCCCTCGCTCTTAATCTGAGTTACATAAAAAGGTCATCCCTTCGCTGTTCACGTTATCACTCTGTTTAAAACAATGGAAATCGGGGATTTTGCCTAAAACGGGGTCAGGGATTTTAAAACGATTTCGGCGCCACACCTCTTGCCAAACTTCCCTTAAGTACCCCTGGTGAAGCGCTTGTTGTGAATCCACCTTTGAGAGGAACGAGAAAGTTCTAGAATGTTTGAAGTACAAAATACGCACCTTTACTTCATGTAATTTCTCCGGACTCGGAGACAAACTAAAACATATCTCAGTTTACGAGGAGTTAGTGATGAAAGTATCAAAAAGAAGTTGCGCTTTTTACGCATTAGCATTGAGGGTCTGATATTATTAGAACACATTTGCTTCGCAACACTCATTCTATGACGTTATGATAAAACAGAGAGGAAAACGAACTTACAGAATTTCAATTTACGTACAAGTCACTCTCTTGTGACGTATAAATTGACTTTCAAATCGATTTCAAACGAAAATTTACGAAAACTAGCGGTACAAAGTTCGAGTATAAACTACACGGGCAACACGACTGCGTCACATGCAAAACAAAGAACTTTGACCAACCTAGACCAGCCGCAATAAGATTGTCACTGTTACAATCCAAGCACTCTACGGGCGAGAATGCGTACATAGACCTCTTGATTTGA